TTGACTCTTGGTTCATATTTGCCTGATCAGTCTTTTCCCATCTTTTTATTTTCAGTCTTTCTGGCTTCTGATGTTTTACAATAAATGGATCTTCACGGAGCATTCTCTAAAAGCTGTCTTAGCGTAGGGCTTTGTGCTGGGCTCAGTGTGTGAAAGTTAGAAAATTCTGCCCCAGTGACCTCGGACACAGATAGAATACTTGGGTGTGAAACAGAATTTACACTGTCAGGCTGCATGGAGTTTATGACATGGAGCCTCTGGAAAAGGAGCTTTGATCCATTCAGTCCCATGCTGGGCAGTGTTGCTGGGGTCACCATGATGAGCATGATACCTCTGACCCTTCCTCCCTCCTCTCCTCCCGGGGGTTCACTCTCCAGTGGGGGAGACAGATCCATCTCTAGACAGTGATGACTCGAGTGGGCAGGGCTGGGACTTGGGAACCCGGAGGTCCCCCTCTGGGCAGTTCGGAGGTTTCCAGGAAGGGAGCTCGGGGAAGGCCTCTCTGTTAAAGATACAGGCCCATTAAAGTTACATTTGAGCAAAGACCCAAATGATAGAAGGGATTGAACCATGTGGAGATCTGGGGGCAAAGCATTCCAGTCAGAGGAAACAGCAGATGCGAAGACCATGGAAGGAAAGAGCTTGGTGACTCTGAGAAATAGATAGCAAGGAGGCCAGTGTGGGAGCCCAGAGGTGGAGCCTGACCCAGCCTGGGAGGTTAGCTTCCTGGAGCAGGGGATGGCTGAGCTGAGACCCCAGAGAATATATAATTAAACAACAGAGCGCAGCAATCTAGAATCAGATTCCCTGGGTTCATACCCCTACTCGAAGTCAAACCAGTTATGTGTGACCTTGGGCTAGTTAGGCAACCTGTCCTGCCTCAATTTCTTCATCTATACAATGGAGATAGCTCCTGTCGAGGATCAGACAGGGCCCCAGTATCCTAACTACTCTTTATGCCAGATCAGGTGCTTACCTGGGTCCACTGGGGGTGTGGAAGAGTGGGGAAGGACGAGGCTGGACCAGTGGGGTATCTGGGCTTTTTCCCAAGGGCACTGGGGAGTTATGGTAGGTTCTGAGAAGGACAGGGACAAGGGCAGGTTTATACTTTTAGAAGACCCTTCTGGCTGTGATGTGTGGGATGGTTGGTAGCAGGCAGGGTGGTGGGGATGGACAGATGCCTGCAGTGGGGCCACCTTTGAGTGTCTCTTGAGTCCGCCTGGCACTGAAAGGATCTAGGCCAGTGCTGTTCAAGAGAAATATAAACTGAGCTTACGTGCAATTTAAAATCTTCTAGTAGCCACATTTAAAAAGTCAAAAGAAGGAGATGAAGTTAATTTTAAGTATTTTAACTCAATTATATCCTAAATAGTATCATTTTAACAGGTAATCAATATTAAAAAACCATTATTGAGGTATTTCATAGTCTTTTATTGTACCAACTCAGAGTCAGATTTGCGGCTCCTGGTTGGAAGGGCTGGCCGGAGAGGTCCTTTTGGCCACACGGCCTGAGCCTTGAATGCCAGGCCCAGAGGCTTGGACTCAGTGCCGCGGGAGCCATCGCAGGGCTCTGCCCATTTGTTTTTCAGGGTTAGGTGATCCCGCTGCCCAGTTTCCCCCGCAGGAAATCTCGCCCCCCAGGGCTCCCTACCAAAGCTAGGCACTTTTAGACCCCCTTCCTTCCTCCCTGGAGTCTCAATCCCTAAACTGCTTGGGCCTTTAAATCTCAACTGTCAATCAAGGCTCCTGTTTAGAGGAAACATCGTAATAAACCTCTCCTTGAATGCCGTGGCCTAGGTCCTGACCTTGTCCCTCCGTTTAGCAGGAAGTTGGGAGTTGTTCCACGCTCTCTTGCACTCGGCTGTTTCCACACCCCCCTTCGTCACCTCTCGCCTACTCCTCCCTCTTCGAAGTTGGGCCCCTTCGCCAAGGCCTTCCTTATATGGGCATGGCCCCGAACGGCCGCCGCTCATTGGCTGGGGGCCTCACGCGCGCGTGTGTCAACAAAGGGGCGGAGGGAAACTAGTCGGGTGCCCGCCCGCGCGACAGCCGGAGGGAAGGAGCGAGGGGGCGGGCCCTCTTCCCACTCGTGCGCACGCGTGTGTGCAGCCACTTTCTCCCGCCGTAGGGGGCGGGGCTCGCCGGTGGGGGCGCCTTGGGGGCGTGTCTCGGTTTCGAGGGTAGCCCCAGGGGTTGGCGGATTCCGGGGAGGCTATATTTGGGGGCTTGGGGACATTCTTGCGTGCGTGTGGGGATACTTTGGGGTTCCCTTGAGTTTAGGGGGCACCTTGGGATTCTGGTTTCCGTTCTGTTGTAGTGTGGAAGGTTCGGTTGTGTTGTAGGGGATCTCCCGTGTGGATTGGGGTGTTTGGTGGGTATAGGATTTGGGGAGCCACGGAGAGACTGAGAAGCAAAGAAAAGAGTCCAAGAATACCAATTCTGGACCCAGAATGCGTGGGCTTTCGGCTCTCGCGACTTCCTACCTGATTGTCTCCGGACACGGGATTTAACCTTTCTGTGCCTCATCTGGAAACAGGGACTGATAACACTACCTGTTTCCTAGGGACGGGGGAGGATTAGCAGGAGTTGTTAGAACAGTACCCAGTAAACTGCCAGCGAGCATGCCATAAGCTCATGTCTGCTTATTAACATTTTGTAAGGTTTCTTTGGGAGTGTTTTGGAGGTTCTTTTGGCTTTTGAGAAATATCTGGTTTGGGATTAGTTTTATGTGTTACGGAGATTTTATGCTTTAGTGAGTTGTTTTGCCGTTGGGGGGCTTCTGTGGAATTAGGGAATACATGTGGAGGTTTAGAAAGAGTTTGAGGTGAGTATAGGATTTCAGGAAACTGGTCTTTTGGGTCATCTGTGAGGTTGGGAAATTGCTGTGTGTGTTCGAGTTCTTGGTTAGGCATGGGATCTGTGAGGGGTTCTTTGAGATTGAGGCTTTCTGTGCTGGAGGGGATATTTTTAGGTTTGGAAGTTTAAAGCAGGATTTGAGAGGGTCTGGATATTTTACGTCAGGATTCATTTGCATCTATAGAGAATGAATGGCCTTTGATGTGGTAGCTTCTATTCCTGGACACTTTAGATGTGTTGGTGGTTGGTAAACTTAGCCTTCTGTAGGTTTTAGGGGCTGAGTGGCATTTTGTTGTTGTTGTTGTTGTTTTTTAAGCAAGAAACTGGCATTTCGGCAGGGGCTGTAAGTATTGGGGTAGGTGGGATTGGGGATTATGGGGGGCAAGGATTTTTAGGATTAGGACTTTCTGTTTCTGAGGTCTGTGGATGTTTGGAGGCTGTCTAGATCTTGAATGGCGTCTACAGGGTTATGAAGTAAATGGTGATTTAGTGGTGTCTGTGGTATTGCCTGAATTTAGAGGGACCATATATACTGCAGAGGTCAGCAAACTTTTTCCATAAAGGGCCAGATAATGAGTATTTTAGGCTTTGCAGGCCATATGTTCTCTGTTGCCACTACTCAACTCTGCCATGATAGCATGAAAGCAGTCATAACCATGAACATGTTCCAATAAAACTTTTATTTGCAGAGGCAGGCAGTGGGCCACATTTGGCCTGTGGCTCAAAATAGTCTGACCAGGAGTCAGCAAACTACTTTTACCAGTCTGTAAGCATGTGGAAGTTTTGATGTTTGAAGGGTATTTTGTTGTTTTTGGTTTTGTTTGTTTTGTTTTTTTAATTTATTTTTTTTTTGGCTGCGTTGGGTCTTCGTTGCCGCATGCGGGCTTTCTCTAGTTGCAGCGGGCGGGGGCTACTCTTCGTTGCAGTGCGCGGGCTTCTCGTGGTGGCTTGTCTTGTTGCAGAGCACAGGCTCTAGGCGCACGGGGTCAGTAGTTGTGGCACGCAGGCTCAGTAGTTGTGGCGCACGGGCTTAGTTGCTCCACGGCATGTAGGATCTTCCCAGACCAGGGATCGAACCCATGTCCCCTGCATTGGCAGGCGGATTCTTAACCATTGGGCCACCAGGGAAGCCCTGAAGGGTATTTTGGTTTCAAGATGTCTGGAGGGAAATGGGCCAGGGAAGGATTGAGACTGAGGGATTGAGACTCTTGGTCCTGCAGTGGAACGTGGTCGTGTCAGAGTCATTAGCAAAATTGCTTCCAGATTAGGTCACACACACAAAGTCACTGCAAAATAAAACGGTCACTATTGCAAGCCCTAAATTGGAAAGTCTGGAAAACAAGTTTGAGGGCCTGGTGTTAACACTATATAAGCCTTCCCTACTCTGAGCCTCAAACTCAGCAAGTTGTGAGCAACTTGAGGAAACTAGACTAGAAAGCCTTTCTCATCCCAGGGGTCTGCGTTTGTGCCTAAGGGAATTACCTGCACAGTCTTGGTGCAAGTGTGTGCATTTTTCTGGGTGAGGATACACAGCTTTAAGGGATCCTTCAAGAGCCTCACGACCCGAGCAAAGTGAGGAGCTGAATTCTTAAGGACCTCTCTGTCTCCGACCTCTGATTTTCTTCCCCTGCCCAGCCTACCTTGTTGCTTCCTCTGGGCTCAAGCCTCAGTAGCTGTGGGCAGGGCTGGGAATTCTTGTCTTTTCAGGAACTTGTTACTAGGTGAGCAAATAGAAAAAGGAGGAGCTGTCTGTCAGTTGGTACTTTCATTTCTGTTTAAAAAGTTATGGCAGCAGGAGACCTCTGGATTGTGAGTGAAACCAGTCAGGCTGTGAGATAGCGGAGGGTTGGAGCAAACTGCCAGCTCCGGTCACACTCTGAGTTTTACAGGAGCAGGTCCTATCCCCTCTGCAGCCTTCCATTTGCTCACCTGTGCCAGGGGTCGGGAACAGGATCTCAGTGGTCTAGTTTGGTCTGTCCCCTCAGGTCAGGAGATGTTGAGGTCAGTGGGGTACTGGGAGGGCAGGCCGTTCCCCAGCTCCCCAGCCTCCTCTTCCCTGTCTCCAGGTGGCCTGTGGAGCCCCCCACCGCCATTCAGGTCCTGAGATGTGGTGAACCCCCGCCTGTCTGCCACCATTCCCCAGAATGGACCGAGGGGGCCTCCTTCCCTTCCAGCTGTGGTGCCCCCGGCCCTTTGGCACCTACTCCCAGAACCAGCCGCGCCCGCCTTCCGCAGCCCTCAAGCCGTCAGCCTGCCCTGAGCCAGGTGGGGGGTCGGAGCCAGACCATGGCCCTGCCCACTCAGAAAACACACCCCCAGCCTTGGCCACGGAGGCTCCTGCCTCCCAGCCTGCCCCGCTCCTTTCAGCAGCCGCTGCCAGCGATGAGGGTCGAGTCCTGCTGGACACGTGGTATGTTATCAAGCCCGGGAATACAAAGGAGAAGGTGGCCTTCTTTGTGGCCCACCAGTGCGGTGGAGGCAGCCGGGCCAGCTCCATGAAGGTCAAGGGGCACTGGGGCAGTGACAGCTCCAAGGCCAAGCGGAGGAGGCGCTGTCTTGAGCCTACGAAGGCTCCTCCGGACCCAGGGGGACAAGACGGGCCCCCTGCTGCTGAGGGGGTCCCAGCCTCAGCCAGTGAGGATGTGGACCTGCTCTCTGTGGCCGAGATGGTGGCCCTGGTGGAACAGCGGGCCGCCCTGGCCCTGCAGAGCTACCCGCGCCCAAGCACCCCAGCGCCTGTGGTCTACGTGTCGGCCGAACAGGGTGGGCCTGCCAAGGGGCTGGGGTCCGAACGGAGGTCTGGTGGCGGGGACTGCAGCCGTGTGGCGGAGGCCGTGGCCCACTTCGAGGCTCAGCGGGACAACCCTCCAGCCAAAGGCCTCCGCAAGGAGGAGCGGCCCGGGCCAGGCCCTGGGGAGGTGCGCATCGCCTTCCGGATCTCCAATGGCCGAGAGCCCCGTGCACCGGATGGCAGCTTGCCCAACGGGAGCGGGGGCCGGCCAGGTTGTGCCTACCCTGGCAGCCCGGGTCCTGGGGCCCGGGCCAAGGACAAGATCACCTGCGACCTGTACCAGCTCATCAGCCCCTCTCGGGATGCCCTCCCCAGCAATGTGGAGTTTCTGCTGGCTAGGGCGGATGAAGCCAGCGAGGGTGAGACCCCAGCCCCTGCCAGGCCCGAGGACACTCCCCCGGCCCCCCCTCCACCCCCTGCCCGGGACTGTGGCGCATCAGGCTTCCATGTGGATGTGGTGGTGACGGGGGTGGTGGATGAGTGCATCTTCTTCGGCAAAGATGGCACCAAAAACGTGAAGGAGGAGACGGTGTGCCTGACTGTCAGCCCCGAGGAGCCACCCCCGCCCGGCCAGCTCTTCTTCCTCCAGCCCCGGGGGCCAGATGGGCCCCCCGAGCCGCCGCCAACTGACTCGCCCGCCACTGCACCCGGCCCGGACGATGCTGAGGGGACGGTGGACACCTCCCTGTGCCGCCTGTACCGGCACGTGTCGCACGACTTCCTGGAAATCCGCTTCAAGATCCAGCGGTTGCTGGAGCCGCGACAGTACATGCTGCTGCTGCCTGAGCACGTGCTGGTCAAGATCTTCAGCTTCCTGCCCACGCGCGCCCTGGCGGCCCTCAAGTGCACCTGCCACCACTTCAAGGGCATCATTGAGGCTTTCGGCGTTCGGGCCACAGACTCGCGCTGGAGCCGCGACCCGCTCTACCGCGATGACCCTTGCAAGCAGTGCCGCAAGAGATACGAGAAGGGCGATGTGTCGCTCTGCCGCTGGCACCCCAAGCCCTACCACCACGACCTGCCTTATGGACGTTCCTACTGGATGTGCTGCCGCCGAGCCGATCGCGAGACGCCAGGCTGCCGCCTGGGTCTGCACGATAACAACTGGGTGTTGCCCTGCAATGGGCCAGGCGGTGGCCCACCCCCACCCCCTCCCCCTGGGAGCCGAGGGTCAGGACTGGGTCACCAGCCCATACCCTCAGCCCAGGCAGCGTTGACCCCCCTCCAGAACTGTGATGGTGTTCAGGGGGATGACCCAAGAAAGCACTCTGATTGACCCCTACTGGTTTTCTACTCTTCAGGCCCTCAAGTAGGGTGTTTTTTTATCAGCATCTCAATATCGTCTCCATTCAGCCCCAGCGCCCTCCCTGCCACTCTTCATACCCCAGGGACCTACGAGCAGGGAGCAGACGGCAGCTAATTTTGGTACTACTTAAGGGTTCCCCCATTCTGGCCCCCTTCCGTTCCCTCCCCTCAGTTCTTTCTCTCTGGAGCTGTTTTTTTTTTTTTTCCCAAGAGGCTGCAGCACCCAGGGGTGGTACCCTTCCTAACCTACTACACCAGGGCTCACCTCCTCTTTAGGAATTGGGGCCATCAGATCAAAGATCACATTTGGCAGTTTTCATGGCCGCCTGCCATTTCTAGACGTTTTCCCCATTAAAACAATAAAAATCAGTTTTCTCCTTAACCTCAAGCTACCAGCCTCTCTACTTCCCCTAAAGGGGAAGAGGAGAAAAAAGTTGAAGTGTAGAAATTCTCCTCCTCCCAGTATTTAAGCTGTTGCCATGACTCTCCCCCTCCCCGCTGCAAAGAAGCTGTGAAGCCCTTTGCCTCGCTCTGGACAGCGTGGGGGGCCGGTGGGCAGGGACTGTGGCTTTGAATTTCTGGGTTGTTTTTCCTTTTACTCTGGGTACTTGTTCAGGTGTTGGGGTCTCTCCACCCCCCCATCCACATGTGTTTCTTTAGAAGCCTTTGGTCAACCAAGACCTTGACCTTCAGGCAGTTTGATCTGGGGTATTTTTGTTTGTTCTGTTTGAGATGTGTTTTTGTTGTTTTTTTGTTGTTTTGTCTTGGTTTCGGTTTTTCATCCTTGTGGTTCTGGAAAGCTTCTAATGTGTGGCATCTGACCAATTTTGAATTGGTCCTTTCTATAAAATCAGTATTTATAAGGCTGGGCCCAGACTGGTTTGTGTGTTGTTCAGGGAAGGGGTTTGGGAGAGAAGGGAGTCTTGGGCCAGTGCATGGTGAAATGGAAAAAGTTGAGAGAAGAATCCTTAGCCGAGTCCCCTAGCCTGAGATTATTTTTGACTCTTCATCTGTGTCGTTTTGGATTCGAAAACCTCAAAATAGTAGACGCTCAAACAAGGTAGTTTTTATTTCTTTAGAAACCCAGTGTTTGGCAGGTATGGTGGACCTGAATTCATCTGGAACCCAGGCTCCTTCTAGCCCACTATTCCATTATTCTTTGGCTGTGGCCCTCATCCTCGTGGTCCAAGATGGCTGCTGGAACTCCACCCATCACCATTTTGCAGGAAAGGAAGTCCCTTGCCTCCCAGAAGTACCGCAGTGTACTTCTCTGCACATCTTACTGGTCAGAACTTTAGCCACGTGGAAGGGCTGCAGAGGAGACTGGGAAATTCAGTCCTTTAGTTGGATGCATTATGCCCAACAAAAAACTCTTGCTAAAGATCCCTGTAATTAAAGCTTTAAAATATTCAGATAATTATTTACTAAAAGAAGGAAAAATGGATATCGAGCGGTGGCTAACAGTCTCTGACATTCTTATCAAGGAATCAAAATTTCCAGAGACTAGGCTATATCATAGCAGTTATTTAATACTTAGATTTTAGAATCAAAGAAACCTGGGTTTGAATCTTGGCTTGGTTTTGTGGGATTTTTGGTTTCCTATAGTGGGAAGGCCAGATTATTTGGACTCTCCTGCTGA